TTTCAATGAAATTATCTTAAAATATAACCCATATCAAGGTGTAGTTTTTATTTTATTTCACACAAAGTAACAGGGTTTATTTTATGTAAAGTAACTTAGTAAAAGCCACTGGGCCTTGGCATTTGAACTGGATACTTTGTTGCCTCTGTGACCATGTTAGTCCATTTTTTTATTGCGACAGAGGTGGGGCCTCCTGTCACGAAAAAAGAGTGAACCGGTCCAGAATATTTGGCTGCATTTGCATAAAGTTGTGCTGCAGTGCCAAAGCAAAGGCGGCGCAGAAATGTCAGGTGCAAAATGGGCAGCAATGGCGCACGCGGCGTATACGCAATGCAGAGCGCACACTAACCAAAAAAAATTGTAGAAAAACCTTTTTTAAAAAATTATCTGTTTGGTAAAATGTAAAATACATTATTTCTGAAATTAAATTAATGTTTAAAATTATACTCTTATACAGTGTTTGCTATATTTATAAATTTATATAACCTTTCCCCCTTTTAGTAATTTAAAAAAATACTTTAAATGTTTTTATACCTCCTACAGAATAGTCACAAAATCCCATGTATAGTAGAAATAACTTCGTTAAGTGCAGCTACAGCAGCGAAAACAAGTCGGAGAGTAAACAAGGCTGTGAAGTTGCGCACTCGGGGCAGCAGAAGGCAGAATGTATGCATGCATATATAGAGTGGGGACTATCGGGCGGATCGGCAGTCGGAGGGTACCATAAACTGAACGACTGATTGAACAGCAAACAGCAGTCGGCCTCCTCCAGTAGCCCAGCCCCTGCTGCAGTTCTAGCTGCAGCGGCAGTGGCATGTAAAACACATGTTGCCCCTTATTTCTTTCGCCATCGGAACGGTCGAGAACGCACCAAGCCACCCCGGCCCGATATCGGTTAGTACCCCCTTGTGTCCAGGCGGAGCCAATTTTAAGCAAATATTATTGTTTGCATTTATGTTTGTGTCTGATATGGCACTGGCGATAATGCACTGCATGCGTATGCGGCTGGGGCCCCACAGCTCCCCCACAGGGGAAGTAACACTGTTTCACAAGGTAAGGGTTTTTATAATGGCCTTGAAATAATGGAACAATATACTGAAGAAATGAAAGCATATATAATATTACTCAAAATATAGCTGTTCTTAAGAAAATAAGTCCTAAAAAACAAATCTTTATTGACCCTTAAAATATATTTACAAACCGAAAATGCTGTAGCCAGGTGCTCGTTGGACTTCCGGATGCTGTTAGTCCTGCTGTCCTGTTGTCCCAGGTCCTGTTCTTATTATTGTTTCTGTTGCCGTGTTGTGTGACTTGAAGCGTGGCACGGAGCAGCATGTAAACACAACCCCAAATTAAAATATGTTTGCTTATGCAGTATGTAGAGCAAACTGAACGGCCAACTATGCTATAACCGATGCCCGGTGCTTCTGATCCTGCTCCTGCTGCTGCTGCTGCTCCTGCTTCGTCCTAGGCATAAATTAAAAGTTTGCAACATATTTACACCGGGCCAAAGTTTCGCCTCGGCAAAAGCTAATTATGCATAAAGCAGCGGCCCCGACAAGGGGTTTATTTACCTTCTGGTCTGTTGCTGGCCTGAAGCCCATGCCAAGCCCAGAGTCTTGGATCATGGGTCGTGGGTCGAGGGTCGCAAGTCGAATGTCGAGGGTTTCCGAAGCGGTATTATGACAGCTGCCCAGCTGACTGACAGGCTGTGGTGAGAGCGGCTGTCGGCGGCGGAAATTAAACGCCTCGATTTGCGTGCCCGTCACGCGTAAATCAGGTAAAGGCAACACACTTGGCCGCCGAGGCCGCTGGCCACCAAAATTGATTAGAGCCCTCAAAGGCGATGCCAGGGGAGGGTGAAAAATACCTGCTCTAGCCTGAAACTGTAAAGTTTAAAGTACACAATAAAAACTATATAATTTTGTATGCAATGCAAGTGTTAAAAATATAATACTAAATGTAGTAATTAAAATAAAATCCAAGCATTTGTTTAGTAGCTATCAAAAACTGTATAGATTTTCCTACAAATGACTTAAGTGAGCAACTAGCTGCGATCGTTACAGGAAGGAAAACCAGGGGGAGGGGCCTTCCCATTCTACCATTAATCTGGCAAGTGTTGTCAGGCCGCTCATCATCATTCTCACCAGCTTCTGGATCCTAATCAAAGCCACTAAAACACTAGATCCCGAAATGGGCAAGCCGGGCAGGCAGATGATCACAAGGAAACAGAGATCTCGGTGAGCTCTGATTTATGTGACACACATTAGGACGTCCGTCCAGTGCAAATTGAAAGGGGCCCGGCTTGGCCGCAACATATCGCCGCGCTTTATTATCCTTCGAAATTAACAATTTCAGCAAAAGCCCGCAGCGGCAGCCGCATTCCACGTTAATGCACTTCAGGGCCTTCGGCCATGGGAAATTACTCAAAAATAAAAAAAAAAGGTAAAAACAACGGAATACAAATTGCAAACAGGGCGCGCATAAATTAATCGAAAGCTAGGCGAACGAAATTAAAACATTAATCTGCCGCCCGGCCGAGCTGCATAACAATTAATGCTGGCTTAAATTTATTAATTTATTTATAAAGCCAAAAAGGGCACCGGGAACGAGGTGCGAATCCCAGTCCAACTGCGAGTCCAACGAGTGACGGAATGAAAAAGCCAGGGACAACTCCGACTGGCCGACGGGTTGAGGTTGAGGATGAGGATGAGGCAGCGTCTTTGCGCAGTTTTTAAAAATGTCAGTCCGCCCTCCAGGGACAGATTAGCGATTAATCTACGGGGCATGGTCACATGCACGCCCTTCGGACTCTAGCCGGGCTCCGGACTCCGACTCCTCCGGCGGGGACGAGGTAACGATTAAAAAATCTCCACATAAAAGACTGAGCACTTAATCAAAGCGGATTTAGAGAGGAATAGGGCCAGGGTAAAAAGCCAAGGCGACCGGGGCCAAAAGCGTTGATGCGGCTCTTTGTTTCTAGCTGCCTCTTCCCTCAGGAATGCTCTAGGATCCCGACTGGGGCATGAACGAATAATCAAACACTTTGCTCAAAATGAAGTTTAAGTCGTAGCCAAGAAAATGTATATACAAATACCAGACCCTAAGTACAAGTGGCATACTTCTATCGATTCGTTCTGAAGGTTTACAAGCTATCTACCTACAGGTGAACAGGTAGCTAATTGCAAAAAGACAGACCGGCAGATGCTCGATAAGCAAACAGGTAGGTTAAGGTGTGTTTCGCTCCAAGGGTGGCTTAGACATGTTTGCCACTTTTCCATATATAAAGTAAGGTCAGTATATTGATTTTTCTCAGTTGAAAACGAACAGTTGGCAGGTGTGAAGTGAGTAACTGCAGAAACCAACGGATTTTAGTGGAGGTGAGACATTTAATATATAACTTCAAAGGAAGTATTACTAGTAATTATCTAAATTATAATTAAAATAATTTTATAAAGCATCAGTTAGTCGACTTTTTCCACTTTGTAATCGCCTTAGTTGGACTTTAACTACATATTACAAGCATTTTTATTTCGCTAAGCGCTGCTCATAGTTTTTGGTGCGCTTTTTCATCCCGCTGCTCGCAGCTTCCAGGGATTTCACCAGTCCTCTTATGCCCTGCCTCGGCCGAGAGTAACCTCGTAAAAGACCTTAAATAGTGGCAAAGACATCTCGCAGACTGGGCCCGCTGCATTTGTCAATTTACTACGAGCTGAAAGGGGCGTGGCCGCGCATAAAGATGATATATGTGAGCGCTGAGTTAGCAATTTTCGTATGAATTGGCAGAGTTGCAGTTGCCGCTGCCGCTGCTGTTCGCTTTATGAATTTCTTTATGGCCAACCTATAAAATATTTTGATTGCGACGAGGAGGACAAGGAGGTGGCGGTGGAAATTAAATGCTGCTCACTGCTTTGGCTGCCTGCTGCCTGATTTGCTCGCTAGCTCTCAAGTGGATTCCGGCCCAATCCGACGACCAGGGCCACTCGACCACTGTCCACTTCAGTCCCGGTCAGCAATTATGGAGGAAAAACCGCATAGAGCTCCAAAGCTGGCCGGGCCAAGTGCCGAATGCTCGGCAGCAGCAGCAGTAGCTGCAGAATTTTGGCATTTTCCCCTGTAATCCTTTTGTGTGCTAATTGGAGCGTTGCCCCGTTGCCATAAATACCCCGCACCGCACCAGTCCCGCAAATATCTGGCCTAAACAGTTCCAGCACACAGTTTGGCGGCCATTCAGGGCACTGAAATCGGCTTAGGCCACTTGTCAGGGCAGCAAATGTAAATATTAAGCGGGCTCTTTAATTGGATTTAGTTTTTGTGGTTGCACGCCAGTTCAGTGGAAAATGGGAGGATGAAAATATCGATATCAATATAGTTTGAGCGGCGAAATTCTATGGGAATATAGAATAAGAACATAAACGATTTGTTAACTCGTTGGAAAATAAACCTCTTGACTTTAAAGGCTTTAAATCACAAAGCAGTTAAGTATTTCGGGTTTTTTAGAAAAAATTATGACTCTTTAAAATCCTTCAATGATCATGAATGCTTTGAATGTTTTTTTTTTAGCTAATTGAATATTTTCACACATTAATTCACTATCAAGCTACAAAAATAAACCAAAACGAAAAAATATTTATAGCAAATGGTTAAAGGGGAATTAATCTTAATTACCACTAAATAAATCAACTTTGTTGTTGTTTTAGTATCGAGAAATATGTTTAAACAAATTATTATCAAGACGAATTATTATCATTTGGCAAACTCGTGGTCAACTGATGGACACTGCGTGATTATGTTTGGCTTTTATAAGTTTCCGATATCGACACGATTTTGATTTGGATATCAGCTAGAGATGTCGCCATTAATTAATAAACCACAAACACCTTTGCTTTATTTTCCAACACAGAAGCCGAGATATCAGCTTGAGATGTTTACCTAGACGATTATCTAAGCAGCATATAGGAAAGGGTTTATCTCAGGTGAGATAACATAAATAGACAGGCGTTATCTGCCTTTCAGTTCAGCGCCATTTGGCATTGTTTTTGCCACAGTCGCGGCGGCCGTCGATCGCCAGTTATCACCCAGAGACTAAAGTACATATTTCCTTATCGGCATCTCGGTTCTCCCAGCTTTCAGTTTTCAGTCGCGGAACGTCGCTCACATTGATTGCGGAGCTCCAAAACCCTTCGGACGTGGTTCGAGGGCGAGATTACGGATGGGGAACTAATCAGTGTTTACCGCTTGAATTACATAAATCAGACTGGCAACGGGACAAGCCCCCAATTTTAGTGAAACATCCGAATATTTTAGGAAATAAAGATGTTTAAAGCTTGGAAATAGTGATTGTGAGAGAAATTCAAATGCAAATCTAATGTTATTAAGAGATAAGTGAAAGTGAAACCAGAACGTAAAGTTAAATAGGTAAGACTTTGGTCTAAGATAAAATAATTAATCATTATAGGGAATAATTATATTAATTAAAGAACTTATAAATCAGAAATATGAAATATATGAGTTAAAGTTACACTTATACATGTTGTTGAAAAAGAGGATTTCAAGTTTGCTATGGTAAACCAAAAAGGATTAATCTGTCTTTGTAAAACATTTTCTTCTTATGGAAAAGTGTAAACATGTTTATAAATAGAACTTTTCCTTGAAGATTATTAGTATTTATTGAGGGTTGAATATTTAATTCTATGTCCATTTAACCCTTTAATTTCTTGGAAATGTATAATGATTTCAATAGCTTGTATGATTACGTTTGATTCCATGCCAAGTCTTATCAATACCAGGAAGCCTTATCAATGATTTGTATGCGAATAAGCTTAGCAAAACAAAGCAATTAAATTGCTTAAATAGGCTTTACAAATGTTGTCATCGCTAAACATAATATTTATTAAAAAACATATTTTATTTAAAATTATTTTTCGTTCACTAAGTGTTTAAAAACCGAAATTCAAGACTCAAATACTTTGAGAGTTGAGCAGCTAAAATCGGAATAATTGAATTTTGTTTGGTAATAGCATTAAAATAAATATTATGTATTATGCCAAAGCAATCATTGTATATTTTTATGCACCCGCATAGCTAAAATATATATATTTTAGCAATAACCAATTGAATGGCGATCTTGTGGCCAAACAAAGGCATTGCCGAAAGCACACACATTGTCCGTGATATTCAAACTCCCCCGTGGGCGCTCTTGCCAGATTTATCATGTGGCGATCGTATTATAACGCTGCCCCGAGAGCGTGTGTTTGCCATTGATTGGCCATCCAATTTGCATATATAATTTATTGGCAATTGTTGTGACATTTTGCCAGCCATTGACGATTGCGCAAAAGTACGAGTAAAATACCTGCGCCGCCAGACAGGTTGTCGCTGCCGTGGGAACTCGCCGCGGAATCTCGGAGCGCAAATCTCCCAGCCGCTCTCCTTACTCTCGAGCTATTCCAACTTTCACTCTGGCCCAGAGTGGTGCCTCCTTAATTAAGCCATCTTAATGGGTAACTGGGACTCGGGCCGCGCTATCTGCCAGCAGACAATGGCTTAATCTGCCGGCTAGATGGCAGCCAGCATTGCGGGCGCGGGCGCACCTACCTCCAATTAACCAGACAGCCGGCTTCATTTACCTACTTAAAGAGTTAAAGAGTAAGAGTTTTGGCCCCAGTCTCTTGGCCTTTTGCCGTACTCCCGTTTTCCAGCAAATCCCCAAATGCCATGGATCGCTGGTGCATCCGTCGCCAAGTGCTAATGCTCCTCAGTCCCCCAACCGAGTCTAAGTCCGACTCCAACTTCCATTGATCCAGCTCAAGGTGTCACGCTGCTTGGCTCTCTCTCTGTTCGGCCAAAAACTGGTTTTTGCTGATCGGTTTGGCTTGCAAATGAATTCGCTATCTCCGGTTACTCCGAGTTCCATATTTTCACGCCAGTCTGCACTGAGCCGCACCGCTCTCGATGTGTTCAACGGCAAATATTTGAGAAAGTCCACCCACAGGAATTTGTAGTAGACCTACACTCGAAGAAAATAATATAAAATTAAGTTCGATTACCATAATTAACTAAATAACTCTTGATTTTTAAAGCTTAACCATGGCCGATAAGATACTGAAGCCCGTGGAGAAGACTGCCGATCCGATCATCTCGCAGATCGGCGACTTCCGCCGCTACCACCTTTTCTTTTTCTTCCTCATCCTGCTGTGCAAATTCGGCTCTGGCTGGCACACTTTGGGACACATTTTCCTGGCCGCCCCCACACCTGAATCCTGCAAGACAGAAAATGTGACAGATGTGTGCTGCAAGGACTGCGAGGAGGTCGAGTTCGACACCAGTGTCTTTCAGTCGACCATAGCCACCGAATGGAATCTCATTTGCGCTCTCAAGCCACTGGTGAGCATGTCCCAGTCCATCGTCATGGCGGGCATTATGTTTGGGGGCATGACTTTTGGCATGTTGGGAGATCGGTGAGTATCGGAATAGTATAACTCAAAACTTAACATAACTCTTTTCAACTTCATTTGACAATTTCCACAGTTTTGGACGCCGACCAGCCTTTCTGACTTGCTGCTTCATGCAATTGATCACCGGTCTGATCGTCTGCGTGTCGCCCTACTTCTGGTTCTACTGCCTTTTCCGGTTCCTGGTGGCCTTCGCCACAGGCGGAACCATGACAATCAGGTGGGTGCAGCTTCAAAATCTCGAAAATTATGTGTACATCCTGTAATTTATGTAATTCCATCCACAGTTTCGTGCTGCTTATGGAGATCATAGGGCCCTCTAAGCGTGAGCTCATAGCCATTTTGTACCAGATACCATTCAACATCGGCCACGCCTCCCTGGCCGTGTTCGCGTACTTCATCCGTGATTGGCGCTGGTTCCAGTTCGCCATTACCATCTTCTCGGTCGTGTTCGTGGTCTACATCTGGCTAGTGCCGGAGTCGCCGCGCTGGCTCTTCTCCACGGGCCGGCTGGATAAGGCCATTAGGATCCTGGAGAAGATCGCAAAGTGCAACAAGGCGCCGACAGAGACTGTCCGGCCGGAAATCGAGGCAGCGTATGCGGTGAAGACTGCCCTCCAGCCGTTGAAAAAAGGCAATGTGCTGGACCTGTTCCGGACGCCATACCTCCGGCTGAAGACCATCTGCATGGCCACCAACTGGTTGGTGACGTGCATGGTCTACTACGGCACCGCCCAGTACGTGTCCCAGCTGGGCGGGGACATCTTCGTGAACAACCTGATCGCGGCCGTCGTGGGCATTCCGGGCACCTGCCTTTGCGTGGTGCTGACAAAGTATCTGGGCCGCAAGAAGACGCTCATCCTCTCGAACTTTCTGTGTGCGCTGGGCCTGTTCCTGCTGGCCTGCCTCTTTAACTTTGGCTCCGTGGCTCAGGTGGTCTGCGCCACCCTGGGACTCTTTGGGGCCTCGATATCCTTCCCCAATGTCTACCTCTACGGCGGCGAGCTCTTTCCCACTGTTGTCCGCTCCAACGGCATGGGACTCTGCTCGATGGTGGGCCGGGTTGGGTCCGTTATTGCCCCATATATATGCGACCTTAAAGTCTTCGGGGGTTGGATTGCCCCGGTCGTCTTTGGGATCTTCTGCGTACTGGCCATCATCTGCACCCTGTTTATTCCGGAGACGCGCGGCTTGCCCCTTCCGGAGAGTCTCGAAGACGGCGAGCAGTTTGGACGCAAGCAGAAAAAATAACTCTGCCAGGAGTTTTCCCCAAGTGTAGCTAAGCACAAAATTAAATAGTTTTTGGGCACAGACAGAGTTAGTGTCTGGGCCCCGCAATTATTAAATTTCGACTTAATTTGCGATTTGTGCGATGCGATATGTCAGTCAAACCGAACCAAGTGCCTTTCGTGCCGCAAACGAGAGGCGAAAATATTGAAAAATCTAGCGAATGCAAAAGGTAATTACCGCGCACTAACTTCCACTTCGTGATTATTAAAACTGGGTTAGCAGTCGTCTGAATCCGAATCCAGCTCTTTTTGGTAACTGGTAACCGGCGACTGTTAATGTCGAGGTGCAAACTCTCAGCCAAATGGCGAAAAATAGAAATAGCATTGGGAAACCGCCACGAAGCGACTGGGAATGGATGCTTGGCATGTGAACCCAAAACCCATCGATAGCACGTGAGAGAGCATTCAAATTATTCAAGGAGAATGTGGGTAACAACTAGCTTATAGCCTAAAGACCCAAATACAAAACATATGTTATTAGATTAATTCTTAGTTTTAGATTTTAGACTTAATTTTCTATTTTTATGAACTCATAGTCTGTATACCACTGAATAAACCCACTTGGAATCGATTACACACATCAGCGCGAATGACACTCACGGCAATTCCATTAGCGGAGACTATGGCAATTATCGGCAAGCATCTCATCGCACCATCTCCACATCCTCGAGATCCGATGACCTTGGCCAGGCAAAAACCGGCTGGGAGCAGCACTCAAGGTTAATATTCATTGTCAACATTGGGCACGCCTCATTTGTATGCGGCTCTGGGTCTTCATCGGCCCTTGTGTGAGCATATTCCCTAGGCTACAGAGGAAATAACAGGTGCATCCCTAATTTAATATTACCTAAAGTGCTAAGTATAGTTTTTGGTATAAATAAATTGATTGTCCCTTAAAAGAAAACTTACTACAACTATTAGTGTTAATAAAAAGGATATTTTTAGGATACTGTCACTTTTTGTCAATGAAATGTCAAGTCAAAGTCCCCTTGAATCAGATGACACAACTTCTTTTTTTCAGTGCAATCAGCCGTCAGTTGTCGGCACTTGGCCACATAAAGCCGAAGAGATGCACCTCCAGTTGCACTTGCAGGCAAGGATTCAGAGTGGAGCGAGTTTTTAGCGTCATCTCGGCACTGGCAGCTTGTCATGTCAGCGGTGCGCAGACTGTCAGAATTCGAGGGACTGTGGAGCGATGCCGACTGGCGGTGTCGCATACTTAATCAGTGGCGGCGCGTCTTAGTGATAATTACCAGGCATTTTTGCAGCCCGCTGATGCTGTGAGTTGTGGCCAAATGAATGGTCCGAGCGGCTCCACTGTAGTCACCCGATGATTATTCATTGTGTTGCCCCGACTGAGGTCCCACAGCGCTCCTCCTACACGTCCGTCCTGGACCGGGGGGCAATTTGTAGGTATTTCGGTGTAGCCATTAAGGAGCAACAGGCGACAAGCGGCGCTGAGAGGAATGCCATAAAAATTAATTGTTTCAGTAACAGAAAAAAACAAAGCAGAAAAGCACAGCGAAGGGAGAGCATATGGTGGAAATAAATAGCTTACAAAAAAGGGTGGATTTCTAGTAAGGAATATAAGTAACTTTAATTTTGGCTTAATATATTTAATATATTTAATAAAAAAATATAATATATGTATAAACACAAAGGTCACTCACGAGCGACATTCCTTGCTGTAACGAAAATGACTAATTTTAATGATCAACAAAGGCTTTGTGTCAGCGAAAAACCAGGACTATGGATTGCTATTTTACGCCATAAAAAAACCTGACACTTGAGCAGAGTTGTAAAGGCAAAAACTGCCACTCAAAGTGCACAACAAGCGGGCTTTTTTGGCCAACACATGGCAAATTTGCCGGGCCAAAACCGCAGACTGGCAGCAGCGGCAGCACGGAGACAAAACCCATTTAAGTTCAAAGCCAGCCAACCGCCAAGACGATCATTATCTGAGCCGCATATCTATTTGCGATTACCGAGGAGCTGGCTCTGGAGATGAGGCTGGGACGAGGCTCAGCTGAGGATGAGGCTGGAGCTGGATCTCAGGCTGAAGCAGAGTCGTGGGAGTTTTGGTGGCAACGTGGGCGCATAAAGCAGGCAAATGTCAAAATGACGCGCTTTGTTGTTTATCATATTTACCGCAAACGGGGCGAACTATAAGACGGGCCAAATTCAATTAGTATTCAAATGTGGACGCGCCGGCGAGCACGACGCCAAAACGAGTCATCATCATCATCTGCCAGCGGAGCGACACTTGGACTAGGTCTGGGCCTGGCTGGAGGAGCTTCTTTTGGGCCAGGCCACAAAGGAGCCGGCTCTCTCTCTTTCTCTCTGTCTTTACATGCTGAAAAATGCCTGGGCTTTTGCGGCTCACAGTTCGCCGTAATTTAGCGCACGCATTTTGCATTTTAAACGCGAGCTGCGAACGGCGACGACTTCTGATTAATTCCTCAGCTGGGCGCTACAAATTCGTTTGACTAATTGCGGCTGAGAGCTGGAATGGTAATGGGGAATGGACTGGCCTATCCAGGAGAGTGGCAAATGGTAATGGGAGTGAGAGTCCAGGGCCTGGGGATTCCGCGGAACACCTTATCGGCCGCAATTAAACGTGCTGTCGGCCAGTCCAACGATTTAATGTATGATTTCTTTCAAATCATATCTACGTGACTGTGGTGTAGCCTTATCAGCAGGGCCAGGATCCCAAGCTCAGGTTTTAGCTAGGCACTAAGGAAAAGTTTGAAATTTTTAAAACGGAATATTATATTTAATGTTTTTGTATTATTAAATCCTTTTTCTCAGTTTTCAGTGAAAGCTAACATCTTGTAATTACAATTTTCAAATATTTTGTTATTTTTTGAATCCGTTTTTAATTATTAATGACCCAAAATTTCGCTCGGTGCAGCTGCAAACTCATTAATGACAGAAACCCCGGTCGGCCGGCCTCTCAGATGATTCAATATGGCCGCTAGTTGCATATTAAGCAGCCGGGGCTCCGAGCTCGTCATCGAATATGGCCACATCTAGAGTCCAGAGCCCCATAGCTTTCTGTTATATAACCATAAAAAAACGGCCAACAAAAAACAACGACAAAAACGAAAGAAAGAAGAAACACAAAATGTGTCGTGGGCGCTATCAAGTGACAGCTCCGTGGATCCAAACAGTTGTAAAATTAACAACCGAGTTATGACAACTGCCAGCAATTAAAATTGACAATTGATATGACAGGCGGGTGGCCCCAGGCGGGGGTAAAAAATTGCCAATAAAAATGAATTCGTTGGGGAGCAGAGGATGAATGTCCTGGGAGTGGCTAGATTCTGATTTTGTAATAGGTATATTTTAAGCAAAAAGCTGGAAAAGAATTGTGAAAATATATACAATTCAGTATAAATATGTATAATTTAGAAATAACGTAGAACTAACAAAGTATGTATCAGTTCATTCTCTTTACAACCACCTCTCTCTGTAAAATACGTTTACAGCTCCATGGCTTTTAATTGCCGGGCCTGGCCAAAAGCAATTGCTGCAATTTAGCCAACAGCCAACAGATCGCGTACTGAGACAAGCGTTTTGGCTGCACAAATATGACAATTGGCGGCATTATTAAATGGGCTACGTGCGCTAAATCTGCCGACGTCAGCGAGGAGCCTCCAAAAAGGGCACAATGAGACAGGGCCTGGCCAAAACAGGTTGGTTGGTCGTGGAGAGAGGAGCGAATAAAGGGGGATTTCCCGCTGATAGCACACTCAATTTGCATTCGAGTGGGACCGAAATCTAGTGGAATGACTGCCAGCCAATTACTTTTTATAACTTTCTAGCTCTGGCACTTCAATCTCGGCCAGTAATTAGTTGGCCAAAGAGTTGACAGGTGGCCGGGGCCATGGCCAGGTGCGTGGGCGACAAAGGCAACCGCACACACATTAACATAATGTTATGAGAGGGCTTTAATTAAAAAACCCAAAGCACATCCCTATTATTTCCTTTTTTTTTCGTTTCTTCCCCCTCGACAAAGTCGTTGGCCATTCCATGTGTGTGTGCACTCCTTGGAGCATTTAAGGCCGGCCATCCGGCACAGACAATTAAAAACCCTCTGCAGCTCTGCCATTTGCCATTTTATAAGCACAGATTACAGCTTTACGTATACGTAACGCACAAGGATGGGTTGTCAAGGGGCTAGAAGCATGGGTTTGGTTATGGAGACATCCAGGCAGGACACACAACGTGCACCGATAAGCGGGAGGCTCTAAGTGGACGCCAAACTGCTCTCCGAATACCAGTGATGTCTACTTGAATGTATAAAAAACTAGTTGGGTTATATTATATATTTATTCAAATTATTTTCAAGTAGTCAAAGTCAAGCATGTGTTTCTTATTATTTTTTCTGCATAAATAATATTAATATATCGACAAAAACTAGCCAGAATCACACCACTGACCGGCACGTCCCTCGTATCTGCAGAGTGTTGTGATTTTATGTTGGCCATAGTCCTCCTGAACGTCCTGTTCGCTACTCCCAGTTCCCACTTCCCACTTCCCTGCTCCTGCTCCTGCTCATTGTCTGCTTGTCTGCTTTAATGACATTGCACTGCACTTATTTCGTTTTTGGCTCTTTATACTCTTGATTTCTTCTCCTTTTTTTTCCACCGGACGGAGAGTTCCACCTTGTGCTCCAAGTTGATGGCCGGCTGTAAAACCTTATGATGGCTTAATTTTAGAGTTTTCAGATCGTTTTTGCATCCCTCCTACACATGACAATGTGATTTGGTCCGAAATCAGTTGCGAATTTGCATGGACGAGCTTCTAAATGAAGTCATTTCAATGCCAAGCCGAAAATGACAAAACTTGGGAGGGCCAAGGGAAAGCATAATGGGAAAAGTGGTTGTGGAAAAGCGTGGAAAGCGCATCAAGGAAGCTGTTCAATATGCAATGCACAGCTTATGAGGTGAATCGTCAAGATTATTATACGAAGCACAAGAGAAAAGTAGGGAACATAATTAGATTTTTTTGATAAACAACTCATAAGAACAATATTTAAAATATACTGCAATATATTTAGATCAAGAGGTTCTTATGGATTCAATGCGAAGTGAGTGTGAATGTACAATTAAATATAAATAACCGTTTTCAATATTCGTTCGCTTATCTAGGCAAACCATAACCTGGCCCTCGATTTGAATACCCAAATGAATTCGTAATCGAAATGGGACTGCTGCAGACTCATATAACTTCCAGCTGAGACCGGAATAGAACGAAACGTGTCCGAAATTGGGGTTGAAATCGAGTCGTTGTCATTTGCGGAGGCGCCTCCCCGTATAATTTGATACTTCATCAATTCGAAGGAAAACCATTTAATATGGAAATCACTCGGAAAAGGGGCAACGCGCCAGTCCGGCAATCAAAACGAGCGCGATATGCGATATGTGAATCGAGACTCACTTACGGAAATTGCCAAGCAAAATCCGCGGCTGCGAGACAATTGCGAGATGAAAAGGAAATTTGCATGTGACGAAAATGTATAACGGAGCAGACATCGTGAAATCGCAAAATCGTAAAGTCTCAGAGCTACAAACTGGCGACAAATGAGCAAAGGAAGTGCATAAGCGGCAACCGGAAGCGGAAGAAGACGAATCGAGGGCTGTTAACGCATTTACAAGCCTCGGCGACGACAATGAAATATCGCCAAAGATTATCAACGGAACTCCGGACTCCGGACTCCAACTCCGTCGCATTTACTTTGCATAATAAGCCGGATTATGGCGGCCCTCGAGCGCCGCGAAGGCGGAGTAAGAGCCCGATGACGTTGACAATTGATTGCTGGCCGTGGAAATGGCACGAAAAAATATTTGTCGGCTTTCATTAAGCGAGTGAAAAATTTGATTTAAACATTTCCCTGGCTTTTCTATCGCCCCACGGAGTGTGAGTTCATCATTAGTAGGGGCAGAATTGGCCGGGATTTATTTGGTGACTCCCTCGTATTGCGCCGACTTGAGGTAATGTTTTTATGTCAGAAATCACTTAGACCTTTGGTCAGCGGAAGTGGCCATAAAATGGCCATGGCGCATCCACATCCGCATCTCCGGCCATAAATTCGACTGTGAAATTGAAACTTAAAATGCGTAAAGTATACGCCCCATGTCCGTGGAGCAGTCTCAATTTTTATGTGTATTTTATATGCCTACTGTAAATTGCCGGCCATCTTGCAGGACTTGCTTCCTTCCCTCTTCGGCCGCTTTCTTTTTCGGCCACTTTGGTGTCTATTCAGGACTCTCCGAAAATTCCACGTTCACGTTCGCAATCGTCATAAATCTTATGGCCACATCTTGAATTTATGTGCCTCATGCCCCGCAAATCTCCACTCCGACCTCCAGTTCCATTTCCCCGCATTTTGTGGCCGTGTTCTGTGGCTTAGATTAGTAAGTCTGGCATCTGGCGGCGATTTCGTATTGATTTTCGCAGCGCCACTTATTGAATTTGTTTGCCCTGCTGGCCAAAAGTTTTTTAATCAAAAGTCCCCGGGCTGGAATAGTTTGCTTAAAGTGTTTAGCCAAATGACAGAGAAAGGAGAGATGCCGAGGAGCGAGGAGAGCAGCTTGCACTTTGACTGGCAACAATCTGAAACGTTTCCATTTGGCCACAAGACACAAGACAAAGGCCGAGGAATAAAACCAGGCAGCCGGCAGAAGCATTTCCAGCTAAAATATTTACAGCAGAAATGTTTTGTGCAGATAGCAAACAAAGGGCTCCTCCCCGCCTGTTCCCTGGTTCGGGGGCAGATTTCATTACTGGCTGACCAGCATGCCGCTCTAAGACAATCAAAGGTGAGCTGGCAGCTCCGACGACAGTTAAGGGTTGCTCGGGTCGTGGCTGGGGTCGGGGCTCCTACTTGGGTCTTCTTTTATTTTCCGCCTCAAATCACACACTTGAAAAACTTTGTTCCTGTCGAAAATGGACACATTTCGAAATGCTTTTTAACACTTGATTGTTTTGTAAAAAATATTTGTTCTTCAAATTGGAAATATCAAATTATTAGATTTAGTTAGTCTAGTTGTAAATTATTTACTCTCCGTAATTATCAAGATAAATTCCTAAATCAAATTTCTATGCTTCAGGATTTTTCGAGTGCATCGATGTGGGACTGGAATCCGCAGATTTGCCGGCCAGAGAAGACGCGACTACCAGCAGACTTGCAGCCACCGCCATGAAAATTGGCGTCTGCCAAACATAAATAAAAAGGGGGAAAGGTAGACAAATCCGGAATAAATAACAGCGTTTGTCTGGCCCCGTCCTGCGGCGGTCTGCCGTGCGGATACGGATGCGGATCCCGGGTCCGGATCGAGTGTGGGGCTGTGCCACGTCAGCAAAGGGGCGTTATGGCAACCGACGGCGTCGAGACACCTGCCCATTGTGGCTCTTCCAGGCGCTTTGCCCCCGCGTTGCGTATACGCTCAGTTGCACCGCAAAATGAGCGAGAATCGCAGCGTCTATTTGCCATGGCAATGGCAATGGCACTGGCATTGCCAATGTGTCTTTTGTAGCGCTTTTAATAAAATATAACCATTTAATTGGTGTGGCAACCGTAGGCATCTCACGTTGTTCCTTGCCATCTACTTTAAGTTGTAATTTAAAGAAGCCAGGTATCTGTTTCTTGTGATGTTACCTCATAATTCCCAGAATTAATTACAAAATAAAACAATAATATCAACACCAAAAATAGGCTATAAAAACTGTCCACACAGTTCCGTTATTTTAACATTTTATAAGAATATTATATATAATCGAAAATATATAAAGTAAAATAATTCCAGTGGAGAATAAATTCTAATGAATTTATAATTATGATTCATATTAACGTTGTATTACTGATCTTTGACTTCTTAATGTATATTTATATATAAGAGCGACTGTTCATTCAGTGTGATTGCCTCCCGATTATTTTCCGCAAGACAGTCTGAGTGTGGCATTTGGCAGAAGAACAATGGGACCTGGATTTCGCTTCTTGTTAATTGCGATCGTGTTGAGAGGCAGCTTTGCCAGTTCAAAGTGCCCTACATATACAAGTGACCAGGATAACCTTATTTATAAGGTGGGAACAATTGTCACCGATTACGATACCCAGTATTGTAAAGACGGTTACTGGCCCAAAATGCTCGAGAAGCTATATAATAAATATCAAGTGCTTGCTAAAAAATCTATGCAACAGGATAAAGTCATAGGAAAGTTCAAGTCTCATAGAGAGAAAGACAAGGAGTTGATTAAACTAAATACTCAAAAAATTAAATATCTCCAAGCTGAGATCCAAAGGCTCAGAGCTGCTATTCCAAACACAGTGCTTCCAAATAAAGACTTGACACCGAACCAAAGTAAAGGGATTATTTCCAACCTGAGAGTTCAACTGGAGTCCTGTAACAGCACATATTACGAAAATTATGAGCTCAAGAAACAACTACAGTCCAAAACTGAAGAGGTTCAAGACTTTCAAGAAATCTGGAAGCAACCTACTAAGGAAAAAATTAATCCCCCATCTTATCTCATGGAGGTTTCCAAGACATCAAGCTGTAGCAACTTCACAAACACCACTGGCATCCGACCATTTGAGTTCACCTGGCAGGGCAAGGATAGAGCATTCTGCGATAGACAGCTGAAGGGCCCCGGCTGGATGGTTATCCAGAGACGAACAGATGGTAATACCGACTTCTACCTCAACTGGTCGGACTACCGCAATGGATTCGGTGACTTGGCTGGCGAATACTTCATTGGCCTGGAGAATCTCCATCAACTCACCAGCAAGTTAGCGCCATGCGAACTACTCATTCAGCTGAAGGACTTCGAGGGCGAGACGCGATTCGCCCGCTACGACAACTTCGAGGTCGGCGATGAGAAGTCGTCCTATCAGCTAAAGTCACTGGGACAATATTCCGGAGATGCCGGGAATGCCTTGTCCTATAATCTTCGCTCAAAATTCTCGACCTTCGATCGAGATAGCCCAGACGAGTGTGCACAAAAAACTGAGGGAGCTTGGTGGTACAGCGAAATGTGCGGCTTCAGGTGAGATTATACCCTCAAATTATTATCAAGAGTTTTATATTTATATATATTATATTTAGCAATCTTAATGGCAAGTATCCAACTTTGGCAAATCTGGACTTTGAAAACATTGGCACAGGCATCTTTTGGCACGACGTAGAGTGGCATGAATTTGACTATTCCATGCAAAGTGTTCAGATGATGATACGCTCAAAAGAAAATTAAAGTAATAATGTATCCGTTGACTTGTAATTAAATTTTAATAAATGTTTAAAATGTTATAAATATATTTTATGAATTATGATCTGTCGAGCTTTTAAGCTATGTGGCAATCTATATTATATATTAGATTATATCAGCTAGAAAAAGTCCCATTCACTCACATATATATTACTAATGTATATACATATATACTCCTAAATTATGATTATACGCATATGAGTCTAGTGTATACATACATATCAGCAATTTTAAAATGGAAATAAAACGAAAGTTCGCTCTGACTGCGACAAACTTGAAATAAATTAATCATTAGTACATCTTAATGAGATTTTCTTTAGAAATTTCATTTAAAACTAATGTCAAATAAAATGTTAAAAATATTTCAAGCTAACTCGACTTCCCTTTCGAGCTAACAAACATATTCTCCAAGTTGTAAAGGCAATTTCCATAACCTTTGCCTGCTGGAAAACACGCTCGCTAATTAATTCAAAGACAAGTGCAAAGATTCACACCGCCAGAACAAGGATGAGGATGCGAGTGGGTCTGAGAACGATTCCTAAATGGTTGCAATCAATTAAGAGCCAACAAAGTCAACCGTCGCCGTATCGATGTCAAGCCAGCAAGCAGCTGCTGCGATGTCTCGGCTTTCAGCTTTCAGCTCTCGGCTTTCCCCCATTTCCCCCCGGCTTTCCCTGACGCCGGCAAATTAATGAACAACGCAGCCAATTGAGGGAAATGGGGAAAGCATAGAACGGGAATGGAAATGAGCTGGATGACAGCCTCATATTTGCATATTCATGGTGTTTCTGCATTCTAGCAATTGCTTCCGCCCATCTGGTCAACGAATTTTCTGGCTAAATGCCTTCGATTTACTTTAATTAGTTGTTTAGTTTGTCTAGCTAAGTGAGTGCCGTAAAAATAAAACTAGTGGGAATTAAACTGCAGGCAACTCGGATCCCATCAAAGCCCAGACTTGACTCTAATGGAACTAAACTAAGAGAAAATGCGTTCCCCAGTTAATGGACGGGACGCACTTCATTAGATATTCTCTTTCCAATGCTAATATGCATGCACTCAATGTGCAAATAGTTTGAGAGCCGGAATCCGGCAGAAGCGCATAGCTACGGATACGGATACAGATACAGTATCCGGCGGCAGCGGGTTAGAGGTTGACGGACGGAGGCTGGCAGAGCTAGGCACTTTGTCCTGCCGACCAACCACTTGGCAGGCAAAGTTTGTCAGTCCTCAGAACTATATACAGAATACTGGTTTATAATGGTTTATAATGGTACTGAGACTTGGATAAATTATAAATAAAAGTAAAATCATATCGCTGATATATTTAGCTACCTAAAATACAATAATGCAAATTTTAAATATTTAATTATTATTTATTTCATTCAACAATATACAGATTTATGTAAAATTTTCCATTTCGCATCTTTTTGGCCCAGCAATTGACGTGTGAAGACTTCAAAACAAAGCCAAATTAGCTGCTGATTCGACACCCACGGCACATGGCACCCGAAAAACTTGGCAAACTCAATGTCATGGCAACGGATTTAATAAGGGGAAAACAAGAGAGGCAAAAAGTAAAAATCAGCAACAGCAACAGCAACGACGACAGCAACAAATATTGTCACATGCATAAAAAGGGCCTTACAATTTAACGCTTGAATGTTCCGACAGACGTCGACATATGTTGGAGTACACGTGTGGCGTTGTGAGTGCGGTATGCCCTGCGTATAGGGAAGTTTTTAATAATACTTGGCTAAAATACCAAAGGAAAAACTTTTATTAATAAAGTTTCTTTCTTTCTGTCGAAGGAGAAGGAGAATAAGACGGAGGAGTTGGAGCCGACAGAAGAAAGTGTGTGCAACGGCTATGGAGTATTGCTCGAGGCTTCTTTCCCTTTTTGCCTCTAAGGTTTAATTATGGCCACAAAAAGAGTGCAGGGTCCAGCAGCGGGAAATAGTTTTCTACATATTTTTATTTGTATATTGCATATACGCATATTAAGAGGATGAATAGGTTTACAGGTTTACAGAGATCGAGAACCTGGAAAGGGACACTGAATTTTCTTGATGTTCATGAAAATACAACCAAGATAATCATCAATATTTGTGACAAAGTATACTAACTTATGATATCTATATACAAAAATCTTTAAAAAGTGTGTGCTTGAATTAAATTCGAGATCATAAATTCTAGACTTTTAATTATATTTAGAACTTGTTGCTTCTGTTTCCCAGAACAAATAGTTTAAATATACTTTCTGCTTCATTATAAAAATATTATTAAAAATCTTCTCAATTATTTAATATTCAAATCACACAATTTCGTAAACTTCCGCAACGCATAAACTCCCCCAAAAGGAAATGAGCCCTTAAACTTTTCCGAGGGGACACTTGTCGCATCGGCAACAATTGCAAATTTCCCGGACCACCCTCCGTCGGTCCCTTACAAATCTCAACTGCATGTTCAAGTGTACAATTTTTGCCTTTGGCGGCAATATTAAAATTTAAGCCGAAATGCCATCGAGCTGCAGCCGGGAGTGAGAGCAGGCCCGGAAATAGTTTCTCAACGCTGCTGCTAGCTCTAGCTGCTTGCCCCCCTCATGAAATGCCCGCCCATGGGCTTGCCAATTTCGTTCGTGATTTCGCTTATTCGTTTTTTGTGTTTTTGATTTTGTCGTATTTGTCTGGTGATAGAAAAGCAGAGCCGCCGGCAGCAGCGGCAGCAACTTCTGCCCAAATACTTTTAATTAAAATTTCAAATTATTTTCGCCTTTCGCAGACGTCGACAGCTGCAGGGGGGCGTGGCAGGAAGCGGAGACAAAGATGAGCACAAGTGCAGTTAGCGAGTGCAATGGCGCACAAGATGGCGGCGGAAAGGATCCGAAGGATCCTGAAATGCTGAAATATTCAAAGCGCATTTTCAATTTAAAAGTTTTGCACTCGGGCATATTTATTTATTTTATTTCGCAATTTTTGTTTTCCGCTCATCATTGAGTCCCGGGGACGGAGCGAGGGGCATGCGGCAAGCGAATTGGTGGACTCTTTGACCGAAAGTTTGCATCCAAGTAGGCAATGTCATTGAGAAAGTGCACTGGGAGAAATGGAAATATAAGTATTGTAATTTTTAAAAATTAATTTTAGATATAGTAAGAGTTTCTTTAAATAACTATTTTTTTTAATAATCCCCCATATATTTTAAATTTCGAATTTCTATTTCAATAAATACAATATGGTTGCAAATATTATAAGTTTAATAAATAAATTTAACTCCCATTTGAATATTTAATTATTATTTTAATTATGGTATATTATAAACTTATAGTTTTTCAAAGTGCAGTGTGGAAAAGTGTGAGAAAATGGGTAAAAATTGGGCGGCGGTGGATATGAATGCCCTACGAGCGGCAACTTAATGCAATTTCGCTCTGGCAGATTTCATTTGTGTGACAAATGGGGGGCGTGGCCATGCAAATCGCAAATAAAAAGAACTCATTAAAAGTTTATGCCACAAAGTTTGGCACCCACCGCCCAATCCACCCACCGCAATCCAATTCGGCCCAATCCTGAACAGCAAGTTTGGACGAGGGGGCAACTTCCGCTGATTGCATTTATTTCTTATTTTTCGGCTTTTGTTTTTCGGCTGTTGTGAAATAGTTCTAAAGCGCGCCGGCGATAGTTTATGGAATAACTATCAATTGCGAGGCGGCCTACACTGAAAACTTTCAAAAAAGGACTTTAGTTTGTTTTAGGTTTTCAAGTACTTAGTGGGTTTGAAAGTATTTGAATGTATTTGAGAAAATAAATTAATATGAAATTAAGTTATTTAATGAATTTTTTGTGTCATCTTAACCCATTAGCAAATAATATATATATATATTTTTTTTTATCTGATGAAACCCTTCCCTCCTTACCACCAATTTCAAAGAATATTACTTAGTTAGAAAGCCCATTATCAGAACTCCTTATCTCTGCCCTCCGATCAATCATTAAACATCGATAACCTGTAATTCAAGTGTTCGCTAACCGAATTATAGGTCACCGCTGAGTGGTTTGTTATCTCCCACAAGTTAGTCCACCGTCTGATGCCCGATATTTCTCCCACTGACAGTTGACAATTCCCTACATCAATAATCCAATAATAATAACGGCGGGGGCACGTGCGCCACGTTTCCCCAGTTCCCAGCGAGTTCAAAAAGTCAATTCGAATTAAACAACGCATTTGATGGCCATAAAAAAAAAGGGGTGGGGGAGGGGGCCGCATTTACTGGCCGCTTGAGTCCGTGAAACCTGCATCGGTTCTGGGCCAAAAGCAAAACGTGTCCGGTTGCGGCCACTCCCCAAGACAAGTAAATAAAATTGAAATTATTCTGTGCAGTTGCGAGAGCGAAAATAATGAAAAAATCATGCAATCTAGAGAAAAAACTGAACTGAAACTTGAACACACACAGAAATTAGTCAGAGTGGACCTTGAAAAAAACAAGACACTAGCAAAAAAATGGCAAGCGGGCGGCGTTTCAATTAGCCGTCCTCCAGTGACTTGTCCGGCAATTAGGTGTGTTTTAGCCGGGCCAAAACGATTCTAATCGCCGGTGTTTTAACATAGATTTCGCCTTTTAGCCTTATTTGCCCGGCTTTTGTTTAATTTCTGCCTGCTCAGAGCACTTTTTGTTACCAGCTTGTCGGCTGTCATGTTGCCGGTGACATTAGCGGCGGTTCTGGGAGGAGAGCTGGCCACACACAACCGAGTCGATCATACACCCCAGATATGACAAATTTAATTAAGGATAAT